CCCCTTTACCACCCCCCGCTCCAGCCGAACTTACCCCGCCGTGTAAAGATGTAAACTGTGACATCGATCGTTGACGTGGCCGCCCGCCCGCCCAGCGGCCCCCCAACGAGGTGGCCATGTCCCCGGCGAGGCCCGGGTGGGGGCCTCCTGAGCTGAGCCGCACTTGGTGCTGCAGCCGGGGCCCCCCAGGGGCCCCCGCAGCCGCCCGCCGCCGCCGTCCTGCCTGCCCGCTCCCCGGGGATCCTGCATGGCCCTTTTGTTCCCTTTGTATTCGATCTGTGGAGGACCGGGTCCAGGAGGTCCAGGAAGGCTGGAGGGAGGCACAGACCTGTTAGGTTTCACTATACGAGGTGGCTGAAAAATCCCTTCGGGTTGTGTTGCAGATTGTCCTGCACAGCTCAGAAAACACCAATGGCGCTCTTCCGACAGGTGTGAAAGGTTTAGTGCCTTTACTATAGGCACTGATTTCACAACCTTTGAGGCTCTTTCATGCCAAGTAAACATTAAAATCAAAATTTATCTAGCGTCAATAATACAAAGGTACGTTTTAGCAACTTTGTTTTCCAGTGCTTCCAGACATGTGCGGGGGTGGGCGAGTATTTCTTGCCGTTTCGCGAGTAGACAACCCCCAGGCACCCCTTTCCTACTGTACAGTGTGGATTCTGTCCGACGATGCTTTTTTGCTTTTTATCCACGTGGTACACCTGACCTTACCCTCTTTGATTTCAGTTAAATTTCCGTAAAGCAAAAAACTCCCCCTCTCCACACAATTTTTTTTTACGATCCCACAAATGCAATGTACCCCCGTGTACTGCGCCGTGCAACATATCGGATACAAGCAGCCCACCCCCGTATGCAAACACAGACACATACATACACACACGCACACACGAGACTACAAACATCCCGGGTTCTGCCGTTGTTTCTTCGGCGCACGGCGCCAACCTCTTCCACTTTCCTCCCCCTTCATCTCCCCAAGCTCCCCTATTCGCCAGGACTTCCTGCATTCTCGTGTTGACTGTCTCTCCCTCTTTCTCCCTGGCTCTCGCGGACCGTTCTCTCTTCTCCTGCACCCTGTCTCGCTTCCTTCCTTTGCGTCGTTTTGCTTCCATTTCACGTCCTTCAGGACCGTATCGCTTGAGTTTTGAGTATCCGCCATTCGGATCACACCATGAGCACACATGCTACCACCGCATACACAGACAAAACTAAAGGAGGCCTTCACACTTTTAACAATTAATTCGCAATGAACCGTTTGAAATAGTCACTGTAAAATTATATCGACCCAAACGATAACGTAAATTTATAAAATAAGCGACTGTGGAGGGGTTAGTGTGAAAAGTGCCATCATATGTAATGTTGAAACGTTAACCCTTAAACCCTTCTACTCATGTGTTTTGTAGTGTGATCTTGAAGGAAGGAAGAGGGGGGGGGGGTGTTGTTTCCTTATTTTGCGACGTAATTCTCGAGGCAGTGCGCCTGCGCCTGCCGTGACGACCGCCCCCAAGATGTTGGGGCCCGTCGCATCGCGTGACAAGGCACTAGCCAATGACCGGGGGGACCCCGCCTTGTTCCACCATGCCATACACCACGCCACACCACGCCACGCCACACCACGCTACAGCCCCACCCGTCTAGCAAAGCGAGGCCAAAGATATGGGCCCGGTCAAACAAAATGGCCGGCCGTCGCGACAGCGGATACCATGCAGAAATGTTCCGATACTAGTGCCTGACCACTCATCATCTCTCTCATCAGCCTCACATACAAACACAACAATAGGACTGTTATTTTTGTTTCCAACAACAGCGGGCGACGTCACCTATCACCCGATGACAAACACTTCTTATTCTCATTACAGATGTCAATTGTACCCAACGCGCACGTGTATTACGCCGTAAGTGTGTGAACGGAGCCGAGCGAGACAGCACAGTGCAAAACACAAACAGAGGACAACCAACACACTACGAGGGAAAACCAAGGACAATATACTTATGGCTGACACATTTTTTTTACCGCATGACACTCCACAAACGACAGAGATATATAAATAGTTTTACTCGATGATGAGAATTGTTTTTCAACTAATCTCACTACGAAAGCTGATTTCTTTTCTCATGATTTCATTGTGGACACCACACAGCATGTCGACACTCGAAGTCCTTCGTGGAGTAGTGTTCCCATGTCGGCTATGCCCCTGCCGCTCCTCGACTGCCAGGCTTGGGCCATCTCCACGACACAGGTAAATTATGGAGCTTCTTTCTCACACACAGTCACTATACACTACGACAACTATTAATAGTCTAGAGCTTGATACGGCACCACACTGAAACATGTATTCAGTTACACCATACGTAAATACGTTTTATCATAATCACTCCCATATCTCAAAACAATCATACCAAATACAGTACTCTTCCCAACAAATAAACATCAACTTTCTCAACCAGGCCTAGAATTATTTGAGCACACATGCCAAGCACCCTCTTTTCTCTCTTACACCCTCCTCGTCCCCACGTTTATCCATTTAGTTATGTGTTTGTTGCAGGTTAGCAAGAAGAAATCTATCAAAAATAGCAAACAAATTAAAAACAGCATGCTACAACGAAAAAATAACGGGAAAGCACATTTCGTTGCGATGCTTTTATTCATTCCCGCACGGAAAAAAAGAGCTAAAAAAGTGACAGGCCAAAGTGTCTTAAAAGTGTAAAAAAAGTATACAAAAAGTAGGAAAAAAGTTTGCCTAAAGTGCCATCAAAGTGTTGCGGTTCCAATCTGCTATATTTTAAGTATACCTAATGTATACTTTCCACAAAAGTATACTTGAAAAGAGTCATTTGGATATACTTATTTCCATGCGGGTTTGGTCATAAATTTGTAAGAATTTCGAAGACGACTACGACAGCTTTACACAATTGTCTCGAAATCACTTCCCATCGGCTCTCACGCCGTTTCAATCAGGCGCGTGTTCCCAAACCTCACCCTCGGTCGAGCCCCGCCGTTTCCGCGGCCGTAGCCGCCTCCCACGCCCCTCACCCCTCTGTATCGGCAGCGAGAGAGGCGAGGCGATGGAGGAGGAGGCGGAGGAGGAGGCGCTCGCTATGAGTGTGATGCGAAGTGACGCGGAGCTCCGGGACCGCTGCGGGGCGGGGCTGAGAGCGGGAGGCTCCATCCCATCACGTGACACTGAGGAGGCTCATGCGAGATTTGCGGCGCGGTTATCAGATATTATATGGATCCCCTGAACCCAATCGTGCGGATTTTGTGGGGCCGACGGAGCACAGGGGCCCCTAGAGACGAGGGCCGCGATATATACTTTCTTCTCGAAGTCGCTCGCGCTTCTCTCTCTCCCCCTCCCTCTGTCTCTCTCTCGACTCCCCGACGCACTCCTGCTTGGTTTGTCCCAGTCCTCGTTTTAGTCGAAGGGTCCCTTTATATTGTTTATAAGCAGCGTACGTTTTTTACAGAGCCATGTGAAAATGTTAACAGAAGGAAGACTTATTGTTTTGCATTTATTGTATTATTTACTCTATAAATACAACATACCAGGTGGCTGATTCACGCCGTTCAGTTATACTGTACCGCATGCACCAGAGTAATTTTTTTAGTCACTTACAAGACTCATCTGTTATATCTTCAATCTGTATGATTGAAATTACACGGTACACGGCCATCATTAACACTAGATATTTTTGGATCTTTCCCTTCTTAAATCCCAGTATTGCACACTTTTTTTCCATTTTTAACTTCCTGGGCAAAACTGTTACTGTCTCTTGGTAAGTCTATTTTTTTCTTATAGGGGGGAGGGGGTCGTACTCAAACAAGGTCGAGTGCACCGAGTACCAGGTGGGGGATTGTTGCGGGTTGTTCACTTTTCGGGTAACCAGGAAGAGAAGGAGGGGAGTGGCCGGTCTGGAAAGAACCTGCTACCAACAACAACAACAACAACAACAACAAAAACAAAGAAGAAGTGAGGACGACAGTAACGCTAATGATACTCAAAGCATAAAACCACCGCTAACAAGGGGGCTTAGGCAAGTGTAAATTCCCGATCTTGCCCAAACTCGGTATATTTGATTCTTATCTATGTTGATGACGACTGACGGTAGTACTTTTTCCTGAGAGTCAATTTCTAGGGTACTTTAGGGGAGGCAATAATGGAAAAAATATTGAATTTGGGCCAAAAAGGACGGAAGGAGGTCTCAAATCGAAAAGTTGCAGAGGAACTACCCCCCCAAAACCGCTCATTTTGAGTCAGAATATCACTTAATATTTGTACAAAAGTAGAAATTTGTATTTTTGAAATTATACGCTATTATACGGCTTTTATAGGGAGTTTCGGCACATGACTCTCAGGAAAAAATTTGGTCGGCATTCGTCACCTACATAGATAAGAAGCAAATATACCGAGTTTGGGCACGATCGGGAATTTACACTTGCCTAAGTTCCCTTGTAAGCCGAAACACTTCAGCGTAGAATTCGTTCAAAGTGGCATAAACGAGAACATCTCATTGACCGGTGCGCTGCTGCTCCGCTGCGCCCCCGCTACGCCCTGTACCCCACCCCACTTACCCCACTGGGCCCCGCTGCGCACAGCCCTCGCCGCGCCACGCACCACCCTCTGCTGCCTCTCTCTCTCTCTCTCTCTCTCCCGCTCTCTCACTCCCCCTCTCGCTCTCCCCTCCGCCTCCCACTGCGGACGGCGGACCAATCAGGAGGCTCCTCCGGCCTGATCGATCTAAACGTGTATTGCTGCTGCCTCATCCTCCAACGAAAGGGGGGGGGGGGGTACGGGGGCCCTGAGAGAAAGGAGTGAACCAGAGAGAGAGAGAGAGAGAGAGAGAGAGAGAGAGAGAGAGAGAGATGCTGAGCGAATCAGCAATCGGGGTGAGGCTGGAGTTGCCGCAACCATCATTTTACAGTAACCGGGCGGGCCACACTCAGCTGAATTAATGGGGGGAAGTCTCCACAAAATAATAAGGGAGTCTCATTCCTGTCAGAAAACTTTTCCAGCAGATTACAAAGTGGGCGAGGAATTTAAAACTGTGCTCTCCCTTCTCTTCGCCTCTCTCTTTCCTTCTCTCTCTCTGCCGGCGTTCGTCATTCCTGACAAAGATATGGTGAGAACACGGTTTAGAATTTTTTATGTTAAACCTTACACACCCTGTTACAACTCAAGAGTGGTTCAGTCTCTGTCTTAGCTCTTAGTACATCTTGCTAAAAAACAGAGTTTTAAAAAATTATTAAGATTAAAGTTAGTTATGTTTCTTAAGTAAAGGCATTTTTCATATGTTTTCCTTTAAGGTTGCAGTAGGAAGGTTGTTAAGTGTATTGATTCTATAAGACATTATTACAGAGAGAGAGAGAGAGAGAGAGAGAGAGAGAGAGAGAGAGAGAGAGAGAGAGAGATTCTAGTTCATGCACGCGACGGTCCCCTTAATGACTTGTTTCGCGTTGCATTATTGAGACCCCACCGCCCGTATCGATGGAAGACGTCCTCCGCCTTGCCGCTGACATCGCGCGCCAGCACGCAACCGTTTTGCCGATAAAGACACACACGACAGTCTACAGCACCGGCCAAAAAATATTATTTATCTAGCGATAGCGTGGCCAGGTCGCTATGAGGAAAGGGAATTGTTTAAAAATCATAAAATCGTATCGCCCCCCCCCCCTCGCCCCCACACTCCCACTCTCTTTGTCTCTCTCACTGGGTAGGTGAAAGGGCTCTGCATGCAGCAAGGTCCATTAGTCCACTCGGCCCGCTGTGACATGGGCCGGCCCCGAGCCTCCCAGGGTGGCCCCTGTGATGTGCAAATCAGACTATTTCGCGCCCAGCCGCGCCGTTGCTGCTCGTAATGCTAAGGGAGTAGGTGGGGAGCATTTCACAGCGGTCCAAACCCTTTCCGTCGACCCACACCGTGTAGTCGTGGTTGCTGTTGTAGCGACCATACACTTCATCATCACCCCCGTTTTTTTTTCATAATTGCGCGCGTACAAAAAAAGCGAAGAGTATCGAAACGAGTGATTGTTTCGGAAAATCGCATGTGTCTAATTTACGCTTCTGTTTCTTTCTGATTCCAGAGTCGAATTCTAGAAGATTCAATAATGTGTAATTCATGGTCACCGAGGCATAATGTGAGTATTTCTTCTGATTGTTTTTCGTAGCTTGACCCAAACTATTTTGTTTTTTAAAAAAATAATAGTATTTTTTTAACGATGCTTCTGTGATTTTCATGGAAAAAGTTCATAAATAATTTAACGCCGGACTTCAAAAATTTTAGAGTTGTGAGCCGCGCGTATGCTGCAAAAATTACTGTAACGCGTGAAGGGTTGGTGGTCGGCGAGTGTGGTGGTGGGTTGCCTACGATCAGTGGCCACGGATATCAGCCGCGTGCTAGTAGGCAGCTTACTCACCATGGGCGTGTTCTCGGGTGCACGCACGGCAGTTGGGTTTCTCACATCCAGCAGACCTGCGCGGCGGCGCAGCAAGCAGGCAGGTCCTTCCAGCGGCGCTTCTCTCTTCATCGTTTCGAGGCTTCTGAGGGCGTACCCGCCCCGCCCCTCCCAACCCGCCCCGCCTCGCCCTGCCCCGCCAGGCTATCCGGACGCGCCGCGCGCGCCCTCTTCCCGTGCCTCACTCGGTTACCACTGATGCGCTGCTTACGAGCCATCTATTATGCATGGGGGTGGTTTTAAAGCTCCCTGCTGCCCCCCTCCCCTCCCCCCTCTCTGCAACCCCTTTTGCGAGCCTATGCTGAGCAGCCTGCTCCCCCTGATGAGGTGAGCGGCCACCAATGGCCCCGGGCTCGCTGGACCGGACCAGCAGTGTCCACGGGGGGCATTGGAAAAGTTGGGCCATACGCTCAAAACAGGCAACCCCCACGCCGCCGCCGCCCCTGCGCAGCCATGGGGTAGCACGGCGAGCGGGGTCGTGCGCGGTGGGGTCATGGCGCGTGGGGTATGAGAGAGGGTGGGGCGCCGGGCGGGGAGGGTTGGGGCGCCCGTCTGGCCTGGGGGAAAGGATTGTGTGTGGAGTGGGTGGTGCTGGTGGGGGGTGGGTGGCGGGCCCCGCGCTCGGCCCGGCCCGTCGCAGACAACACCGCCCCGCCGCGCGGCCACGGCCTGCTCCTCCGCCACCTCCCGCGTCTGCTCCGCCGCGGCCTGCGCTCCGCATGTGCCGGCGCGCGCGGCCCCAGGAGGGGCATATCATTTAGAAACATAATTAAACCAAAATGCGCGCATTTAGAATGCATGGAAGTCTCGCAACCCTTCCATCCTCGCTGCGGTGGTGGCGGTGCGGCCTGGCAGTCATGATGATGGCGCCTGAGCTAGGCGGGGGCGGGCGGGGCGCGGGGGCCCGGGAGGCCTTGTTTAGCGCCAAAC